GAAAGAGACACACAGACACGATTCATCGTCGTCTCCCATGGGAAAATATGGGAAGTGTGGGGGGAAGACACAGACCCAGAAAATATGGGAAAACATGGTGGGTATTTTGATTTGTGTGTATCTGTTTGTGCGTCCTTGGGCCCCTTCATTATCTCATGGCGTCCCTGGCCCCCCCGCTGGGCCGCGCACGTGCCGCCGGTCATGGCTTGCACCCCCCCCGCTCTTGGGCACCCCCCTCTGTGGCCGCGCCCGGAGGGTGCTCTATGGAGCTGGGACGCCCCCCTCTTCGGCCGCTCTTGGACACCCCCCTCTTTGGCACCCCCCTCTTGGACATCCCCCGCTCTTTGACCCCCCCCCCCTTGTGGGCCGCTCCCGAGCGGAGTGCTCTCTGGAGCTGGGACGTCCGTGGGCCGGAGCCCGCCGAGATCCTGCAATGACGATGATCGGCCCGAGAGGGGCGGCGCGGCGCCAGGATCGCAGGCCCAGGGTCAGGAGGGGAAGAAAGCACACAGACACAACGAGTCGTCGATTTCCAGGAAAGTATGGGAAACTATGGGAAGTGGGGGGGAAGGCAAGAACCCAGAACATATGGGAAAATATGGGGAATCCTTTGATGTGCGTGTATTTATTTGTATGTCCTGGGGCCCCTTCATAGAGGTTGACACCAACACCAAGGTCGGCGGTGTGCCTCCACCGAGGGAGGCCGAACTATTGCCACCAACCCCGAAATCTAAGGCCATCTTCCCCATTGTGGAGGCGAGCGCCCTGTGCTGGTGTCGGTGCCAATTTCCAGGCCTCCAACGGGAGGGACTCAGAGAGCCCAAGAAGCATCCAGGGCAGCCCCAAGCCAACCCTGAAACGGCCCCGCGACGACCCTGCAGGGCCCCCGGCGGAGACCCAAGGCAGTGCAGGACAGCCCCAAGTGGCCCAAGAGCTCCGAGGCGCTTCGGGGCATTCCCACGTGTCCCCAAGGTGCCCCCAATACAGCCCAGAAGAGGCTTAAGGCGGCCTCCACATTTTTCAGCCCAAAGAAGATCACACGCATCGAACACCTGACAATTACAATTTTTGTTTGGCCTCCTCGTCTTACTGGCCTAAGACGGCCATCATAGTGATTGTGACATCTGTTGGCAGTGTGCTTCATTCTCGGGACACTCTTCAGCCGCGAAGCTGGATCCAGTGCGTGCGAGAAATGCGAACGTGACATGCACGTGTTATTGTTGCTGAGCGACCTCGGCAGCTGATCAGAATATTGACAGCTGAGCGGCATCTTCTCATCTACTTTGCTGGGCAAGGTTTAATGTGAAGTTCTCACTTCAATGATTTTATGATTTCCATCATGGTTGGCTCTGGCTAGGTCCGATCGGACTCCGTCACTTGTCGGCACGTCGAAGATCCAATCGACTGCCCGCCCAGGCGGGGCCACCCGGACTCCGCCGCTGGTCGGAGCGTGCTTCCTCCACTATACCATGCTGCGAACAGGTTTGTCGTCTCTGATGCTTCGTTGCGCCATGATTCGTCATGTTTGCCGTGCCGTGTCGCGATCACCGTTGCTTTCTGAGAAGATGAGCTGTGTCGCGTGCATGCGCTGCAATCATCACTTGTGCAAGCAAGTGCGATCTCGTGGACGGTAGTCCAAGGGTCAGCCCTAGTCTCTATTACAATGCAAGGGCAGGGGGCAGGTGCGTGTGAGACGACCGGGGGTCCGGCAGGCTTTTTCTGGTCCCCGGCGGCCCCTGCGAGACCCAGCAGGCCCTGGTGCGCTTCGAGGATGGCCGAAGAGCGCTCCGAGCCTCCCCCGGAGGCCTCCAACAGAGCCCCAAGACGTCACAGGACGGTTCAAGAGGGCCTCCGAGACGGTCTAAGAGCGCTCGAAGACGCTCAAGGTAGCTACCACACGGCCCGAGAAGACGCCGAGCAAAAATCGTGTCAAACCGTGGGGAAAACGTACATTTTCGTACTTCCCGTGTTTTTCGTTTGTAAAGCGCTCCAGACGACAATGCAGGCCCCCAAGCTCGCCCCAAGACGCCTTCGGAGGGCCCCAGCAGGCCTCCACGACTGCCCCAGACAGCCCCTGGACGGCCCCTGGACGGCTCCTGTGACGCCCATGACAGCCCAGGAAGCACCCAAGACAGCCCCAAGAGCGGCCAGAGAGCGCCCAAGAGGTCCTCTAGACAGTGCCTAGACGGCTCAAGACGGCCCCAGACGGCCCCGGCCCCGAGAGGCACCCGAGACGGCCCAAGAGGGCCCCAAGAGGACCCCAGGCGGCCACAAGCCCAAGAGGGCCCCAAGAGGCCTCCAGGAGGCCGAAAAGAAACCCCGAGAGGCCCCCAAACAGTTCCCAAGCAGAAGGCAGCGCCCGCTATCAGGCTTCGAAAAGGCAACCGGAAAAAGTCACCAGAGCCCTCCGGGTGACTTTTTTCTCGGCCCCAGGTGCTTTCAAAATGGTTCAAACCAGGGGGGGCAGACAAGCGGCGAGAGGCACACCGCAGACCCACCA